TAAGGGCCATCCTCATTCCAGTTTTTCTGTCCAAGGACATGTTGAAACAAAGAAATTCTGGGTCATATTTGTCCTTTGATATCCTTATTATCTTGATATCTTCTTTTTTTTAAAAAAATACATAGAAATGATTACAACAGGACAGCAAAAATGGGGGAACAAAGAAACAATCCCCAAAGGAAAGAAAAGGAGGAATTGCCAGGAAAGTAACTAAATGAAATGGAGGCCAGTAATTTGTCAGAGTAATGGTTATAAGGATGCTCAAACATCTGGATGAAAAATACATGCAGCTCAATGAGAATTATAAGGAGCCAAATGAGAATTTCACCAACATGAGTAAGAATCAAGAGCAAATGAAGAGTGACATAGCTGTGATAACACAATAGAAGGTTGCAACAGTAGACTAGAAGAAACTGAGGACTGAATCGGCGAGTTAGAAGATAAGGTAAAAAAATTATCTAAAGGAAAACCAAGAAATGGCAGTAAGCACATTCTCCTTGACCTGAAGCACTTTGGGTGTGTTTCTTTGTGAATGAGGGGGAGCACAGTTCTCTGGCTCCAGGTGCTTCCTGTGGTGAGTGTGGGCAGTTGAGCAGAACTGTCTGAAAAGAACGCCTTATACCACTGTCCTCTGGGATGTGAACTTGGGACTGGACAGAGGTCCAGGAGAGCTTCCTCCCTCCACAGGCTCCACTCCTCCTCCCCACACAGGAGTCCTGCCCACTCACTGGGCAGGACTTGCCTTCCCTCTTCTCTTCCTGGTGATCTAGCTGCCACTGAAGGCAGGACTTTCACGGAGTTCTCAGTGGGAGTGGGGGGGACCAGAGAAGCCCTCAGAACACTCTTCTGATAATTTGCTCCATGGCTCTACATTTTGCACCTTCTGCCACTTCCTGCTGACTCTGCCTGCTGATTGTGACGTCTCTTCCAACTAGTAGCCTGAAGGTGGTGGTTGAACCTGGTGGTCATAAGTATACATCACCTTGCATGTCAGTACACGCTGAGGGTCACCCTATGTATCAGTACACACTGAATGAGTGTCACCCTGCACGTCAGCACACGCAGAACGAGTGTCACCCTGCACGTCAACAGTCAGAATGAGTGTTACCCTGCACATCAGCACACTCAGAATGAGTGTCACCCTGCACGTCAGCACACGGGGACCCAGTGAATCTGTCGATGACAGTCTTAATAACTATCTTACCAGTGGCATTTATTATTGAATACTTGATGCCTGACACACAGTGCTGTTATAAAACCAATGAAAGCCACTTTGGGGTTTCTTCAGGAGGTCAGAGAAGGAGTTTTTGCGTTGCTTCTGTTTAGTTTGGAAGTCGGCATGAGGGAGCCTTTGCCAAGTATTGCCAACTGCCGAATGCAGCATGCCCAGCCTTTCTGGACACCTCCTACTGAAAGGCACCTGCCCCGGAGGCCTTCAAAGAGCTCATGCCCATGACCAGCAGGTGGCAGTCTCATCCTAGGGTTGAGAAACAGCAAGTGGCAGCAGAGGGTCAAGAGCATTTCATACCCCTTGGAAGTGCCTCCTCAGACAGCATCTCACCCACCTTGCCTGTCTGCAGGTGCCAGGGCTGGCTTCCTGCCAGGCTCTAGCTGCTCGTGGGAAAATGGCTGTTACAGTTAGTCCCAGCTGGCTCACAGGAACAGGGCCTGTGTAGAATGCACATGCGGGGCTCCTGGTTCAGAATTTCCTGAGTGTTAGTGCAGTCACAGCCGTGAGGCAGCATGCTGAGGGGTTCAGAGGTCACTCCCTGTCCACCTCTGCCATCGCAGCTCCTGTGACACAGAGCACGGCACTTAACAGAGTCACTGCATGCTGTTCACCGACCACGGAATCTGGCACCGGGACGGGGTTGTAGAGACCATCTAGTCCAATGGCCTCGTAAAGAGGACTGAACTATGTTCCAAGAGACCAAGTGACTCCTGTGTCCTGAGCTGGTGATGTCACAGACTGCCCTGAACTCAGGCTCCTCACTCCCATGCGAGACTCCTCCCCCGCACCCCCCCCAGGTTGGTGATGCCCCAGGCTGAGGGCCTCACTCCAGGTGAGGCTCTCCCCCGACCCCTTGGCTTTGCCATCAGTCAGACACACTTTGCTCTGTTCTCCCTATAAGAGAAGGGCATAGGTGCGAATCACTAACATTTATTGAGTAAAAAAATCAAGGCTGGGCACTTGCACTTGAGTTAGTGAGTGGAAGACAGAGTGTGGGAAGTCTGGGATCCCCACCCACTCCTGAGCCCAGGAGGAGCCAGCCTGCGTGCCTGGGCATGGCACCCATCTTCAGTCAGCAATGGCAGGTCTCGAAACTGTGTGCGTCAGGCTCGCTCCAGCCTTGGAACCTTTGCTCGTGGATGTTCCCTCCATTAAGGTTTTATGAGACATTACAATGGATGTTACGTTTCCTTTCTGGCCGATGTTCACCTTCACCTTTTCCTCCTGGACCACACGCATCCTTTGCTGCAAATTGCTGCCTGCAAACGGGAGGGGTGCAGTGAAGTCAGCATCGGTTCTGCCTTAACTCAGCATCACCATTCTCCACCATTTCTAGGGGTGGGGGGAGGACAGGGCAGGGTGGGGTGGAAGGCCTGAGGACGTGGCCTTGTAGACCTGCAGGTGCTTCTGCAGAAAAAGTCCCTGCCCAGCAAGCTACTCTCACCGAATTTGAGAAAAAAATAAATGGAGCATGGAATTACAGAATCTTAGAACTAAGTAATTGAAATGAAGTGATCAACATTTTTGTCTCAGAGTTAAACCAAATTCCAGATATGACCAATGAAGATTCAAAATGACATTCATCCATGTGTAAGGATATACAACTTTAATTCTACGAATACAGGATTCTTTTCTTACTGTAATTCTGCTTTCCACAGTGGCTTCAGATTGTGACCTTTGTCATTATCTTTGCTTTCTGAGGCATTTCTGACTGTCACCGAAATGAGGAAGTCAGCCATTACTGCAGTCAAGGTCATTATCATAAAGCCTATGGATTCCGTAAATGGAGCTTCTGGCCCCTGAGCTGCAGGTCACAGTGGAGGCAGCTTTTACTTGTGGGTAATGACACACGTGTGTCTGCCCTTCTTGGGCAGCTTGTGGGCTGCCCGTGTGTTGGAACAGATATTAAAGCAGTTAAACTAAGGCCTCCTTGAGGAACCCCAGGCTGTCGGGAGGTTATTCTGAGGTTATTGCCTCGGCCTGCAACTCCTGCTAGGACCCTCCCTCACTCTTCCATGCCTTGGCGTTGCCAGCCCTGGGACTCAATGCCTCAGGCCTGGGAGCAGTCATGCACAACCCCTCTTCCCTTTATAGAAAGAAGCTGTGCCAGTGCACCCATAGGGCTCAGTCAGTTCGAACGTGAGGAAACATCTGGATCTTTCTGCGTCTCAGGGGACAGCACCTCAAGGCCTTTCCTTCCACTAGTGACAGTGTGTCTCCAGCGGAAGCTGGGAGCTGAGTGTGCCTTGCTCTGCGCCAGCACGCGGCCAGAGCCCCCGGGGTCATGGGGTGAGGAAGACGGAAGCAAAAGAAGGAACCACAAAAGAGTGAGGCCCTTACCCCTCTTCTCCAGGGATGTGTTACAGTTCTCTTTCCACTGGATCTTCTGGGCCCCTTTAAACGCCATGATCTCTGGTTCGGTCTGAGCCTCAGTGCCGCCCTGAGGAGAGAATTTATTCTGTTTCTTATCTCAGAGCCAACCTCGCCCTGTGATGTTTAAATTTAAAGTCAGGAGATCACCTCACTGTTATGCCCAGATTTCAGGATCCCCAAAAGACCACCAGGGAGGCAGCTGAGTCTGATGCAAAAGCAGAGTCTTTTATTCAAACCTGGGTTTGGCTCCCCTACCCTCCTTACCGACGCAGCTGCAAGTGGCAAAGAGAGAGCCAGCCCTGTGGGGAGAGGGGTTTTATAGGGGGTTGGAGTAAGGGGAGGAGAAAGGACTGTGGGCCCTGCCGATTGGCCAGGCACAAGTCTGTGTCTTGTTACACAGGATGTGGTCATATCTATGGCGCGCACTTCCCTTGATTGTCATTGGTTAGTTTAAAGAAGTCCTGGGTGTGGCTAGCAGAGGCTTGGGCTTCTGGGAAGAAGCCTTGCCGAGCACATGGCTGCCCAAAATGGAGGATTCGGCGCAAGATAGAGGGAGTAGCCCTCGCCCTTTCACTCACCAAAGTTCACTGAATGCAAAGCAGTTTCTGTTCCTATAAATCCCTTAGTTCCTCTCCTGAAATCTCACTGAATTGAAACTGCTCTTTCTTAAACTACAACTTGTGGGACTTTTGCTTAAAGAATTAGAAGGCATAGGATCTGAAGGAAGGCTTTTTTGCTGCGAGGTTCAAAGTGCACGCTGCAGCGGAGGTAATCTGGAGCATAAGTAACAGCTGGGCAGTGAGACTTAATGGCTACTCCGTTTTCACACTAGCCACTTCATTGTAAGACTTTCTGGCCAAGTGCAGCTGCACAACCAAAGTTAATAAGACGCTGAAACTGAAAATCTACTCACTTTCAAACAAATGTGTCACTGCCCCATGTTCTTGGGTTGCTGGGTGTTCAGGCCACCACCCTGCACCTTGTACGGAGCCTGGCCCGTGTGCAGACTCGGCCCACTTGTGTTTTGCCCTTGAATGGTGATGGGCCTGCGGGGCCGGGGGGGGGGGGTCAAGATGCAGAAAGGAGGCTGGGTAACATGAAAATGCCCATCAGAGAGAGCCAGCTTCAAGGCTGTCACACCGCTAGCTGAAACCTTCCCTTCTCAGCTCTCCCTGCCCTGCCCTCCGCAAACCTGGCCCAGGGGGAAGTGGGGACTCGTGTGTGTGTGTGTGTGTGTGTGTGTGTGTGTGTGTGTGTGTGGGGG